AACATGCATCAAAATCAATAAGCAGACACAAGTCATGAAAACAGGCAGTGAAGAAAACCCCAGTAAAGGAAAGGGTCAAACATCAGCTTATTACTATTAGACCCTAGAGAACTGACACAAAGGAAAGCCCACAAAATTGCCTTACACAGAGGAAATCAGAGTTCAATCAGCCACATCAAAGGATGTTATTGAAAGAGATCTGTGCAAAAGATTAATCTGGCCCCTAATCTCTGAAGAAAAAGCACGAGCAGAGAGCTCTCCATTGCAACCCCACCAGCTAAACCATTAGGGTCAAGTCAATGTAACAAAAATGAACTATTAGTTATGTCTCAGGTGATAGTTTCAGGGAAGAACGACATGATTCAACTTGAGGGAGGAGCAACTCCTCCAACAAAGTTAAAATACAATAAAACTGAGAAAAGATAAAAGATTACAAAGCTTCAAGTTTCTCCTGAAACCAGCATAAAGAAAACTACATTTTCAACTATTTCTCTAATACCGAGCATGGTGTATTATTGAGGACAACACTTTTTACTACTCAAAATATACTACAGTAAATAGGATTATAATTGCATATGGAAATACTGTAATTTCTTATTTCTCTGTAGAACAGTTGCATCATCTAGTGGACAACACGGAGATTGCATTAGGTTTACACTATTTTTACACAAACCAGTTTGGGGTTCATTGAGTACTTGCTTTTCCACTGAATATAGCTCATTGCAGTGCTTTCTAAAACTTAATTCTGGAATTGTAGATATCCACTAAAACATTTAGTGGAATGAACTGGAAAGGTATTATTTTTTCTTTCCATTCCAACCTGCAGTAGACTGACGCCACCTAAGCTCTAAATAGGGATAAAATCAAGTTGTTCTAGTTGAATTCAGCCACTGAGCTGTTGAATTCAGCCACTGAGCTGTTGAATTCAGCCACTGAGCTGTGATTTCCCTGTTTTGTACTGAAATGGTAAGAATTGAGAAATTCACAGGATTCAGATCCAACTGCTGGTCCAAACTGAGGGAAAATATGTAATTGTTTTAACAACTTTAGTTCGTATTTATTGTGTAAAGAAACCCATAAAGTTCTGTTGGGACAATTTCCCTCTGTCCTAGAGTTCACTGTCTTCATCACTGTAGTTGTAGACATGCTTAGTGCAAACAAACACTTCAAATCGTGCCCAAGTGTGGCACTTTGAAAGGGGTATTCTTTACCTTACAGGTGGGGAAGACCTACATACCCTGGGAGACATCATTTTAAAAAGCTCTTTCTTTGGGAATGTCATCTTTGAAATGTTTTCATAGCATACCTAAAAGCTCTAATTATCAGGGTATGAAGGCTGATACTCCCTTATCTTGTCCTGAAACAGACAGGTCTAAAGGCACTTAGCAGTGATGGATGGTCTCCACACATTACCACTGAAGAAAACTGTAAACTAGAAGCCACTCTGTAGAAGATCAAAGAAAATCCATGCTGTATTTACATAAATTGACACAGGAAAGACACTGTCATGAAGTTTCATGTTTATAATTTTTCAGTCACTTCAGAGTGCATTAAATCACACCCCCCCTCAAAAAAAAAAAAAAAGGAAAAAAAAAAAAACAACAATCAAGCTGTGCTATTTCTGTCTCACACTCTTATCACAAGAAATAGTTTCTCTCACTGCACCTACTCAAACCCAGTGTCTTCACTGCAGTCACAGAATGCATTCCTACTTTAGCTCTCCTTGAGTAGTCCTGCACAAGCTGGAACAGAACCTAGCTCACTGCCACGGCCTATACGGGGCTTGTACTGCTAATGGTAAAAAGCTGGGGTTTATTGCTGCTATCGCTGAGATTTGCAGATACGATCTGAAAGGAAATTTATACAAAGCAGGAGATGCAGTCTTTCCACACTAAGATCATGGCTAAATCTCCTCTTAGACTAACAGAGAGCCAGAGCCAAATGTTAACAGCACATCACAAAAGCGAAGCGATTAAGATGTTCGCAGCTCAGAGGGGCTCTATTTAAAGTAGAGGCGGGGAGTAAGCATCTTCACTCTGAAAAAGTGATTTAGTGTTCTGTAAGACAGCTGGAGAGCACTCCTGGTGCAGTTACTTCCTCAGACACTCTAGCTCTTAGTTCAGCTTAGGGTGCCCTGTCTTGCATAGTTTAGGTTCGATTAAAAAAAGAATTTAAGCTTTTGTTGACTAGGCGTATATATACATAAATGCTGAATTACGGCCTGTGCTATACTAGTTTATTCCTGTTGAAAACCCGTTCCTATTGACGTGTGTTACAAAAGCACTGGTTCCAGCTACATAGTTCATTCAGGCAGCATTCTGCCTTTGACATGAAGCACACATGGCTCAATTCAGAACACTTGCCACAGCACTTAAGGTAAAGCTGGGGGCTTACTGCTGTGCTTGCATGCCAGAGACAGGCAAGCAATTCATACTGCCTGCTCTCCTGCACTGCCAGATCCCCTTCCTACGCTCCCTGGAGGGCATGTAGGAGTTACAGAAGTAGGGCCCATATTCAAACCACCTGGTATAAATGTGTAGTCCGTAGCGCAATACTGAAGCATATAAACTCCTGCCAAACTAGTATCCATCTTGCAAGACACATCATACACAAGTTGTTCTTAAAATAGCCATCTCCAGAAAAAAAGAAAAAAAACAAACAAAACCCACAAACAACCAAACATCCTTATCTTCTTTAACTCTGGTACCATCTCATTATAACATGAAAACCACATCTGTTCTTACAGAATGAAAAGTTTTTTATTAAAAGAAAGTAAGAGGTCAAACAGTTCAACTGTAACCAACAAAATTACAGGACATGTTCGAAGCAAGGATCCCTCTAGCCCAGTACCCTGTTTCCCAGTGCCCACCAACACCTTAAAAGCAAGCCCAGGTCGAGCACACACAATACTTACCATCAATACCCTCCCAACCTTCGAGTATTTTGAGATCAGGAGGCTACGTAAGCCCAAAGCTGTTCGTCTGGCTGGTGACTGCCAACAGCTCGGTCCCCTATGTGTAGGTGCTCTGCACCCACGTCAACTTTTGTATCCTTACTCCTTAGTAACATCAAAGGATGTGTTACCACATTCCATTAGTCTTGAACCTGACTTCTTCAAGCGTCCTTTGAAAGCCCTTACTTCTTGCACTGTGAAGGCTCAGTCACCATCCACCCTCTTCATGTCATCCATGACTTCTGTAGACCTTTTCGCAGACCTAATCAAAACAAACGGGCACCAGTCACAGGGCCAGGGTCTCAGCCCCGCTGATCTCTGTTGTAGCCAGGTTCAGCGGTACAGAAGGACCCTTACGTGAGCTGATGAGAATTGCTCAAGGTGAGATTAGCAGAGACTGCATTCCCAAATCCAGTCATCTCATCCCAGGAGGTACTTCAGAATGGGACTGACGAGTATAAAATATGGTGCCAAGTGACTTGTGGGGGTTATAACCACAGTTTAGGCAAATATGAAAGTAAGTTGTCCCAAAAGATGTAATAAATGTGCTTCTAGCTCCAGAGCGCACTTCAGTTTCTCTCCCAACCCCTTCACCCTGCCCTCTGCTCTGAAATGTAAAGTAAGCACACCCTGTCAGCATCTCCGTATGACAATACAGAAAGCCGGAGAGTACAAGAGTCTTTGTGCATCATGGTAAACAAGGCAGAAAGAAGCTTATTTTCCAAATTTCCTAATCCTAGGAAAAGGTTATGAAGAAGGCACCTCCAAACCAAGAAACTGAGTAACAGCAAACAGTTACACTTCTCAGTTCCTACAGTCTTTCGAACTTAAACCAACATCTCCTCCTAGGTACGGAAGGGGCCTTCTCAGAGCTCCAGGTAGCAAGACATTTCCTGTCCCAAATAGATCGAGGCAGAAAAAAAAAAAAAAAGCAGGGAAAACTCCTGGAATCCTCAAATCCAAGCATGTTGACACAATAACATTCTTCTTCACAAGGTACCAAAGAAAGTCTGAAAGTGCATTTGAGCTTGAATACTTAACAGTTTTCACTTATTGCATTTTTTTTCCCTTAAATTATATCATTGGCTAGAATGCCTTTACTGCTGTACACAATTTCATGTATTTCAAAAATAGAGAAGTCTTCGAGAAAATGAAGCAACACATTTACAAAAATAAACAATTTTTAAAAACACAGTTCTTAAAAAATGTTAAACATAGTAACGAAAAATGCCATGAAATGTGATTCTCCACAAAATGGAAAATAATCACAACATAATCCCACTTACAAGTGAAGTTTATACTGCTTAAATAAGGGTCCTGCCCTGAAATCCTCTTTGAAGCAGCTTCTGTCTTCTCTAAATAACAAGCTCCCTACTTAAGTTGAACTAATACTGAAAGGCAGCTCATGAGACTATCCCCTTGTAGATAGGATAGCAACATTTCTCAATGTGATCACCAGAACTGAATGGAAAAAGAATCAATTGTCAGGGTGGTCTTCCAAACAAGAAACAGAGTTCAAAGTGATATATCCTTTCAGTTCCATTCCCAGCAGGAGGAGTCAGAACACCAACTAGTGAGTCTGGAGGGAGCTTCGAGAGTAAAGGAGGGAAATTCACACTTCCTTACGTTCCAGAAACGCTTGGGCTGAAACTGCGCAGGGAATGACTTGGAGTTGGTCACAAGATCTGTGCTCTATCCTGTGCTCTACTCCACACCTATTACTGCAGCATTAAACAGGCGCTACATGAACTGCTAAGCCTTGGGAACACGTACAGATCTCAGGGGAAAAGTAAAGGATCACCACAGGGCAAATATAAGTAGCTCTGTTCTCTTCCTCTGGCAAGTGCCAGAGCTCAAATACATGCTGAGGAGTATCTGCTTGACGCTATGACCCATGCTTTAGCCACACAGGCAGCTGTAAAGACTAGGATTGCTGGAGCCCACAATCCTGGGGCTGCTCAAATTACCCCAGAAGCTGTTCTGCTTGCAGCAGCCATGATTTCAACGAGATGCGACGAAAGCTACCTGTGCTCTCTGGTACCATTTGGGCTAACCTTTTGTATCACTGAAGAAGGTCAGCAATGAAGAATATAAGGCTCTGAGTCCTGTGTGACCCTATAAACAAAACGAGGCATATTCTGATGACTTCTTACATTATTCTTCGCTGCTCAGGTCCCTTAAAGCAGCTGAGCAAGGCACATCCATGGCAAACGAGCTCCAATCAGCCGTAGCTATCGCAGCTCCAGATGGGTCAAGTTGTTGCCGTATTCAAGTTGCAAAGAATCTCAGCTGACTTTTGTAGTATCTTCAGATCTTCCAAGCGTAGTGCTTCTACCAAAGCCAGGTGTTTTTTGAGGTTCTCTTTGTTCCTTTTCAACTGGGAAATCTGAAGTTTATACAAATGGAATTAAATTACTAAAAATACAATTATTTAATATAGAACATTAACATAAAATTGTGGAAAGCTTATCTCCAGTAGGGATTCCAAGAACTATGTCAAAATAGTGTTTTTCTTAAACTTTCTCAAGAGAAACTGTAATGGTAAAAGAAGAAAAGAAGGGGGGGGGGGGGGAGGAGAAAAGTCATCACGTGGCTAGGAAGCAGATCAAAAACAAGGAGAAGGGGGGAAGGGAAAGGTTTACCCGGTATCAGGCTCCTAAATCCACGCTCACGATGTTTCCTAAGACCAGATTCACCTCATACACTGTGCATATACGTGTTTCCTTCGCAGAAGTGTGGTTCCAATAACCCTTTTCCACGATAGCTACCCAACTTGACATTAAGTACACACTTGTTTGCCAAAATTCGGAAAGGAAGGCGAGATTGCTTTTCTAAGAGCCCAGGCCTCCCTCACAGGAGACTGGCTGACATGGGTAGTTCATTTGGCTTGACTGGCTCTAACAAACACAGCCTTCACTGTCTGCAACAAGGCACTCGTGGCAGGTCTGCAACATCTTACGTGCCCGTCTCATACAAGTCTGTGTTTTCTTTTAAGAGGTAACCTCAACAAACACATTGATACTGTAGGCAGAGAAAGGTTAAATGCTTTTCACTTGTTTACAGGGCTTCGTGTAACCTTTGTAACACGGTCCCTTTCTTTGCTGCAGCCACAAATTCTGCTGAGCAATTCAGTGCTGCCAGTCACCCTGGAAACAAATCCTACACCACCCCAGTGCACTCAATTCCCTCCATCCTTCTGTTCTCACCCCAGAAAATTACACTGCTGTACATGTATGCTAGGAGAGAAAGCAATCTGGGCTACCTTGTTCTTCCAGTCAAATTACCTGGAGAAGGACATGCTGTGTCTCCTCTATTAAAAAATGGCATATTTTTTCTGTTACATTCAAAGTCTCCTGTTCGTTTCTGGCAGAAATTACATCACCAAGCAGCGTTCTCCTCCAGCAAGTACTAGAACCAAAATGTTTGAACAACACACAATCATTTGGTATATTCCCCAGCTGAATAATAAACATATGGTTATGCTAGAATAACATTGCTGGCTTAAGGCAAGCAAGGTTAGCATACGTGAAAAAGGCACACAGCATTCAGATACGAGAGGAAGCAAAAATCGGAATGGTCTGGAGCAGTGGTTCCAGTCCTCCACCCCTACCCTTTCGGCCACAGTCTGCACTGAGACCAATGCTCTGCCATGCTGCCACCAACTTCAGCAGCACCAGTGAGAAGTAAAAGCTATTCACTCACAACTGATTAACATGGCTTCTGCTAAGCTTCAGCTCACCTGGGCTTGAAACCAGTATGATGGGGATTTATTTTATTACTTACAATCAACTTATTCCACTCAGCAATGAATCTTCAAAGCATAAACAGCTTTGAACAAGAGAAAACTCTTTTTTCTTTTTAATTATTACATGTAAAGCCCAGGTAATCATTTTCTATTAATGCTGTTTGAGGCAGATTTCCCATTTGGAACAAATGATCAAACCTGTGCTGACAGTCACTGGAGATTAACTTCAGTGACTTACTTGGCCCTAGAATTTTAGATGCAGCCTGTGGAACACATGCTTCAAAGAAATCAATCAAGGTCAATAGCATTTAAAGTCCCATCAAATCAAGAGAAAAAAGGTCCGGAGTCTAAATCTTAAAGTAATATCTGGTTCTCAAAATAGAAAGGGAAAACAATGGAGTGTTTCTAGTATTTAATACAAGAAAGCAAAAGACCAAAGCAGCAAATAGGCAATGACTTTACATTATATGGTGTTCTCTGCCTTCTTTTCACCTCTCACCTGGAGTCAATGAGATAGACACAGGACATTCAAACCAGTTGTCCCAGTATCTCACATACAGCCAGCAAAGAGCAAATAAAGGAAAATGGCACATGCACTTTGTCTAAATATTCAGAGTACTGACACTTACAATTCATCTGCTCTGAGATTTAACAACTTGAGGGCTGTGAGGAGTCTCCAAGACGGGCCGTCCCATCCAAAGGTCAGGTTTCTAAAAAGTCAGAAGTGATGAGATGCAGAAAGTATAGGTGATCTTTTACACTCGACAGCTTTCTTCCTGACAAGTGTCAACAGTGAAGATCTGCTCTTTGGAACTAGAACACTCCTTGACTCCCCTTACTCTGCTGCTATCCACAGACAGGTAACAGGCTGTACCTTGAAACTTATCTCAGGCTTTGATATTGGTGTTTATCACTTCTACATTCTCTCACAAACAGCAAACAAATCAGTTTGTTAAAAAAATCAAATAGTTATTTTATGCTGGATTTTGATACTAGAAGGAAAACTTGACTCCCAGAAAAACTGAAAAGAAAGCTCACAGGGACCCAAAAAAACCTCCAGATACCTACTCTAAGAAATCATGATCCTTTAGAATGGAAAGTTTTGCATTTCTCTGCTTGTCCAGTGGTGGAAAATATTTGAGGAGAGTATCTGCATTAAAACACATTTCAGATATGTAAATAAATGTTATGTAGATGAAACCACAATCCTCAATTCTGAAATGACATTTCAACCATATTTTTCAAGTAGCTACAGGACAAAGAACAAAACCTGCTACATTTTGGTGAACCTTAATGTAATCAAAAATGTATCTACTTCTCAAAAGCTATCAGCAGTCTCCAGGATTGGATACTTCTAATGGAAATCCTGACTCAAACCAAAATTATGAACAACTCTTAGCAACTTCAGTTTGGGGGGATCAGGACTTCAATCCTGAAGTCAATGGTACAATCTAAGACATCCAGTTGGAATCCCTACACTTACACTGCTAAGAAAAGCAATTTTACAAAAGGAAAAGTTACCAAAGAACACTTTCCATTTTAAAACTCCAATCCTTAAATTCTATGCAATTCAAAGTGGTACCAAACCCTATATTCCACTTCTTGGAAATACACACAATATTTTGATCGTACTGAAAAAAAAAATCATTATGCCTTAATGTGCACTGTGCATATAAGCAAGCGTGTGAACTTCCTCACTATCCTTTAGTTATCCCCTTTTACTGACATCTCCTGTTGAAGACAGGCAGTATTAACATGCTCAGATGCTCTGTTCTCTACTATTGAGCCTTTCAATGTCAAGACAAGCTATAAATCCAACCTGATGAGACATAAACACTGCTGTGAGGGTTATCCATGGCAACAAATCCATATTCTAGTAGCAGTCGCTGATTATCATGAGGCCCATAGCAAATAAACACTTCTTCATACTTTTTGCACTGTGAATTTGTCCAAATTTCATAGCTTCTTGTCTGCTCATTAAATGCAGCCTTTACCTTCAAGAAGTTAAAAATAAAAGGTTTTACTCTTGGCAGGAAGACTGTGAAAAAGGAATCAGCCCTTGATTATTAAAATGCAACAGTATTGAACACTAACACTGGAAGAAAACAGATAGCGTTACAGATGTCTGAAAAGGGAACCCATTAGTATGAAGAAGAACAAACATCAAAATCTTAGTCCGCAGGATGTGCCACCCACTGTGTACTTATTACAGAGGCCCCAAGTCCACAGATAAAGATTTCATGCAGAGATGGCCACTTTTGTGCTATCCCAACTCTGTGTTGGCACACAGTCCCTGACATAAGGTGGAACTGCTCTACAGACGTTCCTAAGGCTGCTCAGAAGCTTCAGCCAGAGATGAAGTAACGCAGGAATTATGTCACTTGAGATTTCTCAGGAGCCGAGCAGGTTATATTTACAAGCAGCTCTTCCCAGTAGCTACCCTGGATGCAAATCTCACCAAGCCATTGTGCGCTCTCCCTGTAACTTTGCTTTGCTACATAAACTGAAACATTTGAATAACCATTATTCAGCTGCCTTGGGCTGAATAACAAGCTCCAGGGTATATTCAAACCATCAGTACTCAGCCTGCACATGTCCTCAGTAGACATTTTTCTCACTATGAGATCTCTCACTGACCTCCAGACACTCTTAATCCATCACATAAATGCATACTGTATTGAGATAGTGCATTTACAAATAAAGAAATTAAGTGATCTATTTTCAGTTTCTTACCTGAACATTTGGACTGTGGTTTAGCAAATCTAAATATGGTGCCAATGCATAAACATCTGGCTCAAGAGAAAAACATTCCCTCTGTGAATGTTTCATGTATATTGTTCTGGTATTAATAGTACACCAAGCCCACTCTACAGCACTGTAGTTAAAAATAGTTCCTGTGTTCTCAGCAAACAAAGGCTGCAGGGAAGAGAAAAAAGCCTCGGAAGACATGTACAACTCATGGACCGTTGTCCTCTGCTCCTCAGCCTTCTTTCTTAAAGGTTCAGGAAGAAGGCTTACTACATTGTGCTCCAAACAAACAGGGCAAGTGTATGTCTTGGGTAAAACATCAAGATACGGCTTCCACGGAGATTTCTCGCCAGCGTGCTTCTCTGCTATTAAAAATGTGCACAGGGCTACCAAAGGAGATACAGGAGGCTTCCACCTATTAGAAAATAAAAATATCCACACAGCAGATACAAGGAGGTGAGACAGGAAATGGATGCAGCAGTATTTCACCTCTCTTCTAGTTCTTTTAAATGTTATAAATAGCTTCTATTTTAAACTTCTTTGTAGTTCATCTCCAAGTCCTTTTGATGATTTCAAAGGGGCTGTAAAAGCTGGCTTGTCATAACTTCAGGCTCACCTCTTGGGTTTTTGTTGTTTGGTTGTTTTCGGGGGGTGGGGGGTGGGGTGGTTCAGGATACGTAACAAGTACTCAATGTCCAGCATAGGTGTTTGTTCTGATTTTTCTAAAAGGCCATGTTCATGTAACTGCTTTGCAATCCTATTTTATCCTCCTTTTCTTATTGAAGCATATTCACAAATTCCCAAGAAACCATTCATAACTGGCATTTAGGCCCAAGCTGGCTCTACAGGCAGGTCAAGTTCAAGCCTGCATCATCTCTCCAACTGTGCTGAGCTAAAAGGGGATGCTCTTTTGTGTCCAAATCTTACTTTCTGAGTATTCCACATGCATGAAAGTCCACAAGAAATACTCATACAAGTTAGGCTATGCAGTTTAAAGCCCTACTACCACTTAAGACGATTATCTGCTAATGAGCAACGCACAGTAAAAGCCAGCTTGCCCACAAAGTGTCACTTTTCACTTACTTCATAAGGTATTCTCCCAAGCGGCTACTAAGGACAGTGCCCGTGGTGAGTAAGCACTTCTCAGGCAACGAAATAATCAAATCCCCTGACTTTGAGGGAGGGAAAAAAAAGCGTCACACACAAAGCATAGTAAAGGTCAAGTGTAAATGACTCAACTACTAAGCAATTTCTGGATAGAGACACTCCCTAGAGAAGACTCATGTTAGGAAGTAAACAGATGTGATGTTGAACTTGATGGAACTGGCATGGTTTTCAGACAGTCACAGTCCAGGGAAGGAGGACAACTGAAAGCAGGAACTGTCAGCTGCAGAAAGTTAGCTGTTCACAGAAAGCTTGGTGCTTGGCTACTCACTTTCTTTGTACTGAGATATATTTCAGTTTAGATCTCACAAATAGCTGAACTTCTATCAACATAGAAGCACAGGCTAGGGATATTTTAGGTCATGTCTATCCTAACCTTGTTTGCCAAGCTGCTGTGTGTGTAAATTAGCTTTCATGCCTGGCTTGAGCGATATGTGTTCACGCCTGTAGGGAGAGGACACGAATCAAGTCAATACTTTCCCCTTCCTATTCCTCTCCTGAGTTTCCCTATCTTGCTCAAGCCCAGTTGAGTCTAGCTCTCAGTCCACTTACTGCAGGCTCGCAGCATTGTGGATAACCTGAGCTTCTGGCTTCAACCGCTGGCTCTAAACCTGAGCCAGCATGAGAACATACAGTACAGACAACATACTAGATGTCTGTAAATGAGTACAGGAATGTCTTCGTCCAACAAGTCCTCAGGGTACATAGGACATTATATTATAGATACACCAACGCTGCAAATTCTGCTATAAGGCCAGAAATTACATTCACCACAGGGACTGTGAAGACCTTCTCTAGAATTTTGAGCTTTGCTTGTTGCAAAAGTCATTACATCCCCAAAGAACCTGAGAAGCTCTTGCACTAGAATCAACATCACTAACCTGAAGAGCTTTTGTTGTCATCAGTCCTCTTCCTGTATCTGAAGCAGGAACAAAGATGATTAAATATATGTATACATGTGAAATACACAAGACTACGACAAGCTGCAGCAAATTAACAAGCCAGGAAGGAGAAGCTCTAAAAGAACACACATTCTCTCTAACAAAACAAAAAAGCAAATTATGGATTGTTCCAGATATATACCTCATTTCTTTGTTCTGACTCTCTTTTTACTTTTCAGGACACCATGAAAGCCCTTTGCCTGCATCCCCTGCAACACTTGCTGTCCCGTTCTAGCAATTACTCAACTTCTTTTCCCCAGTTCTTTCTTTAAACACATTTTTCATCACTGGCTGCTGTTCTTGGCTTCAGAGTTTTAACTAAACTTTACAGTTTCTATTCACAGTATTTTTCTCTGATTCACTCTATTCCCTCTATTTTCTCTTTAATATTGCAAAAGTTTTTGAAACATGATCTACTTAAAGAGAAAAAATACAAATATATACTTTTACTGTAAACAGTACTAAGTGAATCCCAATTCTAAAATCATTTACTTATCTGTATCACTAGATCTGCTGAACTTGCACAGTGAAAAAAAGACAAAGAAATTATAACAAGGTTAGGTTCCGATACTGGAAACACTTCAAGAGATATTATTGTCATCTTTAAAACTGTGCTATTAACACTTAAAATCTCAACTTCTATAAGGAATTCAGCATAGGTGTGCATGTTTTGCAGCATACCAGAGTATTCTCATACAAGAGTTTTACATGGGATCATCTTTATATAAGAAACAGTTTGCACTACTTCAGGCCTCCATGTCTACTTGGTTTATGCTAAATGATATTCACGGGCATTTGCCATAAGCCCTTAAAAGACTAACAGTAACTGGCTTTTTTCCTGATGCCAGCCAGGTGTGTGATTCAAAATGAAAGCAGGAATCTAACATTCTTAGAAGAATCAGAAATTTGTACCAATAAATAATTAAAGACATTACCCCAGAACTCTGCTGGCCTTAAATTACCATCTTCAAATCCTCTGTCTTTCAGCCACTTCTTAAGTTTAATGTATTCCAGTGTGTGACTGCAGTTGACTAAAAGCAAAAAAAAAAAAAAAAAAGGGATTGATGTTATGAAATAGCACTCTATTGGAAAATAAAGGAAATTTTTGTGTAGCATAATAGAATAGCAAGAAAGGCTCCCCTCAAACTAGATTAATAAGTTCTGGGTCTCTAGGCACCTGGAGCTCTCAGAACTGTAGGAGTTATTCAGCATATTCAAGGATCAAGGAACTTCAGAATAATGTAGTACTTGTCACCAGCCAGAAAATAGTTCACAATATTCACCATGTTCTGTATGGGATTGTAAACTAATGCTGGAATATTTGTATATAAAAATATTTGCATATAATAACATTTATGAATGTTATTTTCAAAGCACAAAAGCGTTTGACAAATATACACCACAAAAGGACATCTTGACAAACAATTGGCTACTTTATTATTTAGCAGTACTTCCAGGGATAGTACCTCCATCCATAAAACTCTGCAAGTGTTTTCTTCTTCTCTTTCGACCTGTCCGACCTCTGCTTTTCTTCATATTAAGTAACAGATTTTACCTTATTTAGACAACCTGTATTAAAAGAAAAAGTTACTTAAAAATATTTGAAGTCCCTTTCAAATACTGCATGGTTCTTTTACACCAACAAGAAAAATCAGAGCATTGCCTGTTTAATACGCTGCCTCTTTACATTTTAAAAAACATATTACAAACAAACCCCTAAATGAGGGTGGGTGATAGTGATGAGAGAAGGTGGAAAGCCTTTACTGCCAAACACGATCTTGGCCAAGGCACGGCCACAATCCTCTAAAGGACACAAGACATTGGTGTTTAGGAGCACAGAACTAAGAGTTTTCAAACAGCAAATGTATTACAATTATAGAAAATTAATTGGCATAAACAACCTCTGCATTTTATTTCTTCGAATAACTAGAAGAGCAGAATGGAGCTACAAACACTGCAGGAAACAGCCCTACCGCCCACCGCCACACCACAAAGCCCAATCCCACCCAGCCTGCGACACCCCACCTCAGCTCAACACCCCTCAGCGCGCATAACAGCTGAACTGCATCAACCTTGCTCCTTATACTCCAGCCTGTTGTTGAAACGTGCATTTCACTTCCCTTTGCCAATTTCGCCTTTAATTGAACTCCAGAGACGCAGGTTTTGCCTGAGACCCGGGCCCGTCGAAGCGGCGCTGGCAGAAAGCGGGGGACGGCGGCGCAGAGTTTTCTCCCGCCAAGGCACCACCTTCCCCAGCTGCCGGCAGGCTTGAGGCCGCTAACCACCCCGCCCCCCGGGACCCGGGAGGCTGTTTGAAGAGCACCTCCTTTCCCGCTCGGTACAAGCCCTCCCGGCTGTCACCG